TTAGAGATAAAAGTAAAAAGAATAGACATTTGAGATTGTTGTATCACGACAACTTGTAAGTATAATAAGTTTCAGCAAGTATGGTTACTAAGTGAATATCTCGCCTCATAATATATCCTTATACAGGAACATCTTGCATTTGCTTAATATTAACTTTTAAACGTGATTTAAAAATAACTATAAAGAGCTTTATTTTTTAAAATATGCCTATCGTTTATTTTTTACAATATTCATCTATAAATTCACTCGGTAAGAATGATACTCGTTGTCCTGATAGTACTGATTCAACAACCAATTATCAACTATTCCTTTTGCTTTTACCTCTTTAGCTCTCTGAACATGCAACATATTTAACGATTTCCCTTGGTACGTTTTTTATGCTCAAAATTTAATGTAGTCGTGATAAGGGTGAGACCTACCTTAATAAAAACATACATATCTTCTACAATATTAAACAATACAAATGATCTTTAGAGCCATTACTAAGACATTTTAAGATGTTTAATGTACAAGAAAAAAATTATCAAATAGGTCGTCCAATAACAATTGGTAAATAATTGAAAACAACGTCCACTCATGGTACTGTCATATTTTTGTATTTATTAAAAAATAAAAACAACGTTTCGTCCGTTTGGACAACGTCCCAGCCCTCATCAGGTATAAAAAGCTCTGACTCTTACGAAAGGGACGTAAATATCGTAATCGTAATCATAATCACATAACGATTTTATATCCCTTACTCTAGAGTCAGAGCTTTTTGTACCTGATGAAGACCGGGATGTTGTCCAAACGGCCGAAACGTTGTTTTTTGTTTTCTAATAAATAAGAAAATATGACAGTAACACCATTGAACGTTGTTTTTAATCAACAAAAAAATAATTTTGTCATTAATAACATAACAAGTTTTTTCATATATTGCTGTTGGTGCATACATTGATTGTTAAACAATATCAATAAATTATTCTTTCTCAATACTAATGCCATACTCTCACATGTATTGCAACAACTTGTGACTGCTTTCTGCCGTAGAAGACGACAGTTTTGCACCAGTCCAGACAGATTCAAAATTTTCCAACTCTTCGTATACTGCTTAATTAAATAACGTTTACAAGGAAATCCACAAAAAATGTCTCACTTTTGTCCCCAATTTTTAAATAAAAATTGTTATTGAGGCGCACCTTCGAGATAGGGCTCATTTTGCTCGCAATGTCATGTACTATGAGGGAAAAATCATGAACACGGACTTCAGTGAGGGTGACACCCTTTTTCTGTAATGTAATTTTTATTTAAAAATCGGTGACAATACGGGATACTTAAAATTAGATTTTCTCGCGCGCACATGTGTGTGTGTAGGAATGTGTGTACTTATTGTTAGTGGTTGAGCCAAAAAAAGTGGATCAATTGTAATTAAAAGTGATAACTTTGAAAGCTTTCTAACCACTTGAACTTTTCATGTTTCATAAAAAACTGCAATAACACGTACGCAAACAGTTTATCTTGAATCGTAACCGTAATTCCGATACCATCCGCGTGGTGAAGTTAAAATGAAGTGCCCCCATTCACCGAAAACTTAAAAACTCTTAATCCCTTGATTGAATATAAAAGTCCATTTGGCAAAAACCCATCAGTAAATAACTCCAAAAAAACGCGAACCAAAAAACAATCAGCCGAAAATGTAATCTGCAACATGTCCCGTTTGAAAATCACATTAACAAGCGGTGACTCGCGTCCACGTCCGCGGGGAAGAGAAATCGTCGCTAAAAGACTCGGCACGCCATGTAATGTATCACAAAACGCTCGTAAATCCTGAAAGTGTACCGCCCTCGCCGTTTGGGCGGGGGAAGTTGGATAAATGCTTGCAAGATTTTTTGGGAGGAAAAGAGGCATGATGAAACGTTTTGTTTCGCACGTGCGGAAGTTTCGAGCGAGAAACGCGAAAGTTGCGGAGACGGGTCGACGTGACTCTGGTTTGGCTCTGAGCCGCAACAAACTTAGCGTACACTGTAAGCCGGAGATTCTCCCGTGAATATGGTATGCACGAGCGTGGGTGGTCGTTGCTGCATACTTGGGAGAAAAGGAGGGAGGTTAAAATTCTCGTGCGAGTGTGGATTCTTTACCATATCGCACAAATTGTGGGGTAGGAATTTATCGAATATGAAATAGAAGCAGGAGCAAGTTAAATTTTTCCTTGTACTGGAAGTAAGTACAATTATACAGGGCGTACAGTGGTGATTGTGTGTTTTGATCAATTAATAAAGCAGAAATCCATCTTACTGACAGAATTTTTTTTTATCATTTACATTTATGAACGAGAAAATATCAGAGTCAGTTTTACAGAATTTGAGTGCCTACAAGAGTGATGTATTGAGAATTTAACCTAAAATACGGTGGAATTTTGAGGAAATATTTTAACATAAGCCTTAAAAGTAAAAGGCCCAAAAGTGATGTAAAAAAGTGTATACTTTTAGATAAATAACGTGAGCTACCACTCATACATTCACTCAAAACTTTACCAGACAGTACTTTCAGTACATGTGTACTAGCGTTTTGAAAGATTGTTTTTAATGATATTGATTTAATTAAAATAAAATACTTTATCAGTAAGACAGGTGTCTGTCAATTAGGAATATTGGCTATTCAATTCCACTAAAAGAAGGTTATGTCACCGATTACACGACATAATTGTCTCTAATCAATCTACAACGGCCGAATGTTAAATTTTACAAAATTCTTCAGAAATCAAAAAAACGTTGGTATAAAAGAGAAAAATCTAATGAATGTAGCGTTATATTTGTACGACTAATAGATGTAGAAGTTAACCTGAAAAATTTGGAAAAATGGAAAAAACGTTTTTTTTGCGATGAAAAAAAAAATTATCCGTTAATCTCCAATGCAAAAAAGTTAAATAAAGTAGTTGTAGATTTTAAAAAAGCCCATCAGTTTTTTTCGGTAAATTGAATGCTAATGTATTGGTGCTGAGGAAACTGGAAAAAAATCAGCCAAAACAGTAATTTTTTTATTTGTTCATAACTTTTTTCACTTGTGAATTTTGAGATGATACTTAGTGAAATTATGAGTTATAGTTAATAAACCATGAGTAATTTTTTTCAGAAAAACACGATATTTAAAAAAAAAGTTTAATATTTCTTGCTGAAAAAATTACTGATGGTTTATTAACTATAACTCATAATTCCACTAAGTATCGTCTCAAAATTCACAAGTGAAAAAAGTTATGAACAAACAAAAAAACTACTGTTTTTGTTGATTTTTTTCCAGTTTCCTCAGCACCAACGCATTAGAATACAATTCACCGAACACAAATAGGCTTTTTAAAAATCTACAATTACTTTATTTAACTTTTTTGCATTGGAGATTAGCGATTAATTTTTTTTTTTCATCGCAAAAAAAAACGTTTTTTCGACTTTTTCAAATTTTTCAGGTTAACTTCTACATCTATTAGTCGTACAAATATAACGCTACGTTCTTTGAATTTTTTTCTTCCATACCAACGTTTTTTTTTATTTCTGATAACAAAATCTGTTTCTGTGCATTTTGTGCTGACTTTTACAGGTTATGTGGAAGTCAGTCGAAAAATAATCTATTAAAAATACGTATGACTCCAATTAAATTAATTATACAATTTGTCGAAATGTTTTATAAAAACCCTCATAAGATCATTGATCAATAAACTGTATAGGAATATAAAGTGTAGTGTTTGTATGAACCTAGGTCTAAAAAATAAATTTTCAACAGTGATAGCACCTCGTTCATCATCTAAACGGTTCTTACCGTGTTTGATTTTTTTTCCTTTTAGTCTCATCGGACCACCTTTAAAGTCTTACCATTAGATTCATCAAAAATTAAAATTTTTTTAAATTTGAAAGAGATTTGATGGATTGAAGAGAGTATGGATTTATAATCTAATAGTGTTTGGCAGACAGAGAGAAAAGCGCGAAATAAGAGCTACGCAACTGCGTAAGCCAATCGTTCAGCTTTGGATACGATGGAGCTAGTGATGGTTTGAGCTGTGAGTGCAAAAATATATCGCAAATGCACGTACAGAGAAGAGCCAAGAAAATAAAGATAGTGCAAAACGTAGAGAAATAGAGAGAGAAAAATAACAATTATGTACGATTAGAGAAAAAGAGAGAGAGAGAGAGAGAGAGTGAAGAAAGTAAGAGAGATAAAAGGCGCTCGTGTAAAAATAATACTGTGGATAGTGTGAGCGACAGCCATGGTGGTGTGCAAGTCATACTACGGTGTGATACTACGGAGTATTATGTACAGCAATACTGAGGACCGACTTTGTATGTTATAAATACTGCTTGCTGTTGCTGCAATGCTACGCTTATATGGATGAAAGTATGATTCGAAGCTCGAAAATACGCTGCTAGTCTCCACTTAAGGGGATGCCAAAGCTGCCTTACCACCTTGACTTATCTCATTTCATTTGATTTGTACAACTTTACGTGTAGAATGAACTAAATAAAACTATTTTTAAATTTAACCTTTAGCTCTTGATATCAGCAAAATTAAAAAAAAAAAAACAAATAAATAATGACCATTTCGAACTACACTTGGTGTTTTAATATGGTTCAAAAGTTTAATTCAATTTTGTGACTAGTTGTATATTTTCATGAATTTTTTTACATCTATTTGATCAGCCAGAAGCAGGTATAAGTATGAGAAACAGCTTAAAGTTAAACCACGCAGCTACGACATCCCTTTAACTGAGATTATTTAACGTGCAATAGTTGGTAAACTTGTGTTAAAGAAATTTCTAGCGTCGAAGTAATCGCTCTATGTATGCTCGTGCGAAGAAAGAACATTACAATTAGATAGTCGCTGTAAAGAGACAATAGAATAATTAGAAACTACGATTGCCGAGCATTAATTGCACTACCCATCACGAGATTATGCGTAATCAAATTTAATTTTTTTTTTCTACACTGCTTTTAACTAACGAGCCCTTGAATACAGCTTGAAAAAACAAAAATGACCTCAAAATCCTTTCTGGACACTTCGTACTCAAGGTCGTACTTCTGCTCCTCGAGGACGCTGATCCTCTTATGATACTCTTTTACGATTGACTTCACGGTTGCTGTCGAATGTAAAATGGCCTCGTCAGTCCAGCCATGATTTCATCATTTTACGGTATTGTTGTTGATTCATTATCTATTTTTGTGTCTCTCAATCAAAACTGTTTTGTTAAAACTCGTTCCAATTAACAACAACTTGACTCATCCCTGGAGTTGTTAGTCATTACGCGATTCGCGCATTAAGAATCCCGTGGTCAATTAAAAGCCACCGCCAAAGCATACGTGAAATTCCACGGTGGGCCGAAATTCCAGGCCACGTTTTGGTGCTCGTAAATCACGACGCCCAATTAATTGCTTTGAAATTGAAACTGTGTTTTTGAGCCCCACGCGGTCGCGCGGCGGCTGAAATTCTTGCCAATTAAAGAAAAAGTCGCGGCGTGCCGCGAGAAACGAGGAATACCAGCGATAAACGGTTACAATTCCACACCACTGAGTCTTACGCGAACTTATCGTAATGTATTTTATTTTTATTTTTCAATTATGTACACAAAAATATAACTTGTACAGTTGACGTAAAATTTTTGATTCCCAATTCGCTGCATGCAAGTGATAAGGAGATATAACCGGAGCCCTTGTGCTGTCAGTAAAGAGTAAGGTTGTAGAATTTTTAAAGACTCAATGCATAATTGATTGTACATATATATTTTTCAGTCTTTTTGAGTTACCAGATGTAAAAACATTAAAAATAATTATAACAAGTGTAGGTTTTAAAAATTTTGAAAAGCCAACTATGGTTAACGAAAAAATGGATAAATGGTAGTAAGTAATTTCCCACTATTTTATGTTACTAAATTGCAAGTGCGATGTTAGTTGTTATTGTGATTGTTCAAATTTAATATCATTATTAATCAAAAACCTTGTGTCATTTTCGACCCACAATGCATTAGGTCCTCAAAATTTCTTCAAGTTTACACTATTCTGTCTTCAAATGGCTCTTAGAGCACACAAAAAATTTAAACGTGGGAGAGACATGTTTTAAAAAATTCTATTAATAACGTATTACATTAGACTTTGTTGTAAAAACGTCTGAAATTTCTGCTGCTTTTTATAACCAAGAGTTGCTATGCTTTAATTAGCATTTAGATGACATGACAATTGTATTACCATCCGGATGATCAAACCTAAAGTAGGAGTCACAATCGTTTTATAGTAGTTTTACGATATTCATTCTAATGAATAACTCATTATATCATCATTTCAGAAAACCATCACAAGTCAACTCCGGTAAAATAATTCTAATTGTTATTATTCAGATGGTGACATCAGTTTGTCCCTACATAGAGATCCAAAAGAGGTTATGAGTCCCAAAAAGTAGTGAGCATTTTTAGCGATGGTGAAACGTGTCTACAACTTCATTACAATCTCTTTTCTAACATATCAAAGTTTTGAAATAAAACCCTTTTTTTAACACTTGCATACAGCGAATAATATGTTTCGTATGGATGTGTGAGTGCGGGCGTGGAGACTTTAGATCCTGGGGATCGATGTCAGCTGTGAACAATCCTCTAAACAGTCGTGAAACAAACATGGCGCAGAGATGGCCAGACAAGGAAGCTTCATTTGGACGAGCACTCGAAGAAAGTGCATCACTCTGTTGCTTTTTCACGAGACTTTTTTTCCCTTGTGAACAAGAAAGTCGGAAAATGGTAAGACCAACATGCAGCAGCGGAAGTAAGTAAGTAGACGTCTGAGAATCTTTACAAAGTACATAATAGTTGGAGGACGAGAATTGTTTGGAAGAAAATGTGTTTTCTTTTTTTTGCCTGTTACTTAGTTACAATTTTGTATCGTTTTAAGTGTTGTAAGATCGTATTAATAATCGCAGTGTATTTCTGTGTAAATGAGTAGACATAGACGAAAACACTTCACAAAATAGTCCATGTTGAGAAGCTAATTTATTTTTGAGAATTTCAAATAGTATACTTCCGAATGCACGTATGTAAAGGAGTTAACGTGTGCGTGATTGGGTGTATGTAATTTTGCAGATAAAGTTTTTTTTTCTAAAGCAATGGTTGTTTTACAAAAATTTTATTTGATCCGGAAACTAAGAAAAAAAGAATAATTTTAACGACCACTCAATGAAATATAACTAGTTAAGTTGATAAACCATGTACTAAAACAATGGCTGTCAAAATAAATTGCTTCCCAACAAGCATAGACAACAAAAACCGAAGAGACAAGAGGATTTCGAAGAAAGTGTTGTTAAGAAGTTGAACACAAAGCTATCACAGTAACGAAAGTATGAGAGATTAATTTTAGAGCCAAGAGAAACTCAAAAATATGCAATCCAGACATAACGCGTTAATTACTATAGTTCTTTCACGAAAACACCACGTAGAGAACGTATGACAAAGAACAAATAGATTTTGTGTTTAAGTATGAAAGTCAGATTTAAAACGGAAAATGAGAGATTAAAGAAATTTTAATCAAACAGACAAAGAACTAAACAAAGAGCGAAAGAGAGAGAGAGAGTATTTTTTAACAAAGACACGTGTAAACGGCACGAAAGGAAAGCAGCACATGTTGACAAAATGTACCTCAAAGTCCTTCTTCTTCACAATATACTCGATGTCAAATTTCTTATCCTCCAACTTGGCGATCCTATCGTGGTACTCGCGTAGCACCCGCTTGACTTGCTCTGGGCATTCATGGGGAAAGTGTATGTTTTTGTTTATCGTGTTTTTTTTTTTTTTTTTTTTTTTTTTGTTTTGAACCACTTGATCTCAAAAACTGTTATGGTCCTTATAAACGTTTTTAGAGATACTTTTTGTGTTGTCGTTATGTCGATAAAGGGGTATTTCTTATTGTATTCTTGTGATATTAAAAAATTAATTTATTCAATTTAAAAAGTTGTTTTTTGGTTACCTACACGTTCAATAGTTTGAGTTTGTAAAAAATTGAAATAAACTTTATCCAATGCAGTGTGCACTATTGTTGTATGAAGGACAAGAAAACATGTGTATTTTAAAAAATATTATGCACTTTATGATAGAGAATAAAGCAAATTAAGAAAAAAATGATTTAATTGAATTTTAGTGTACTGTTCCTATTCACGGTTTAATTTTAAATGTCGTTCAAAAGTCGTTTCCGCTATGTCTTATACTTAAAATACTAAAACAATTTTTCTTAACTAAAATAGATTGCTAAAAAGAAACTTATAGTTAAATGTTTGGCAGCTAAGAAATTTTTATGTAAAAATAAAAATGAGTTAAAAATTTTACCTCGATAAAACTACCCAAAAATATTAAAAGTTATAAAATGATGATGCAAATTCCATGGATCTACTAGTTATAATGTTAATAAATAATAGGCTACAGTCTTAATTAATTAAAGTGGAAATTTTTTTAAAATAAAAAATATATTGCCTGGTTAAAAAATAGGCTTGTCTACTTTAACAGGCTTAAACATTTGTTTTGAAAAATCAAAAAATATTATATAAAGATGCTCTCTTACTAAATCTCAGAAATTTAAATGCTCACCGTGTGAAAGTAAATGGGCGTTTTTTCAGAATTTCAACCTTAATTAATAGCTAAAAAATCTACAATACTTAAGTTGAATTGAGTTAAAAAGTCTAAATTATAACATAAGATTTTTTAAGATTTTTTTAAAGTGTACGTTTCAAAATCTTATAAAAATTGTTTTAAAAAACTAAAATACTAGAAGATTGTATCTTTAAAAATTAAAATCACTTAACATTTTCATTGATGTTGTTGCGTTTCATATAATATCAAAAATATTTCTTAAATTCAACGGAAAATTCGTCTTAAATATGTAGTTTTTAAATTTTGATTTTTAATCGGAATATATATTTTTTCCATTGTTTTTATGAAATTATAGCTACAAACAGCTTAGGCATGTATTCAACTTACAAATGCATCTTAATGAATATTCAGAAAATTTAGAAACCCAACGAGATTGATGAAATAGCTAAAAATGACTTTTAAAAGTAAGGAAATAAACTGGAATCTGCAATTTAGCAAAAGAGAATCTTTTAGTAATCGACTTCAGTACTCTATATAAAAACTTTAAAATTGCTAAAGGCAAATGTAACCCTGAACTTAACTGTAGCCCCACAAGTAAAGTTCATTTTTTTTTTTTTTTTTGGAAAAAAATTTTTATAACTTGATAAAATAATTCATAATTTGTAAATAACTCATAAAATAGAAAATTACAAAAATGAAGTTTACTTGAGAATTACAAAAATTTCTGAAAATAAATGAGATTATGGAAAATAAAAAGACTCTGAAAATAATAGAATCGAGAGAAATGCGCGGTCAAAAAATGTCAGACACGGAAATGTACCTTCATTAGCGTTGTCGACATCCTTAGCCTTTCCACAGCGCTCCTCGATGATACGCCTCCTTTCGGCGGCTTTTCTCTCCTGTTCCTTCTTCAATTCCTCAGCAGCTTTTTTACGCAACAAGAGCTACATGAAAAATTTTAAAATAACAATCCTCCAAGTTTCATCCCATGTCATTTTGTTTGCGGTAAATTTTTTTCCATGAAGGTAATTCACTGAATGCACTTACCCTGAGCTTCTTCTTGCGGTCGGGGGTCATGAAACCCTTCTTGGCTTTCTTAGCTTTGCTCGCTTCCTCGAGGCGAGCGCGGACTTCAGCCCTTTTCCGGTCGGTCTCGGCCTGTTTCCTCTTCTTTTCCTACATGTCGCAGCGTGTAAAATTTGTTTTAATTGCAAACCATCTTAAGTAAATGCTAAATTTTTCACGAATTTAAGCCCAAGTGTCAAAAAATTTTTATAGGTTTTGAAGATACAATTTTTTATGCGTGCTAAACTCGAATCGTAACATTAATAAAAAAAATAAATATATATTCCACTAAGTATCGTCTCAAAATTCAC